CAATAATAATATTTTAATCATTCCATTTTCTCTTATAATCATTTATTACACTCTTAAACATATCTCATTTGTTCTAATTTTTTTTCCTACATATTTTTCTCTTATTTTTGGACGAAGTATTTTTTTTAAAAAATTTCTTATAACCAATCAAAGTCTCCTCTCTAATTCTTATCATATATATGATAATCTGTATTTTCTTATTTTATATTAATTCTTTATAAGAATTTAAGGTTGGTCCGTGTAAGCTTGATACATAACTTGTAGGAGTAAGACATGTCCATTTATTTTAAATTTGCATACACTTGTGCATAATACACAATTATATGCACTCACAAGTCACAACCCTAATATAAAATGAATGAGAATCATAGCATACAAGATTAATTGACGGCTGTCACAAGGCATATATATGCGTCCCACTTGGGCTGCCAAATGTACCACCATGCTTCCTTTCAAAGCTAATTTAAATATATAAAATTCTTGAAGATTATTATTTTTTTTTAAGTTGAAAATTAAAATAAACCCACCAAATCCATTTGTCACTGCTCCAAACAGGACCGGTGAGTCTATTGTTAGGTTGGTCAAATCATTAGATCGATTTACATTTCTTCATAAATATTCATATTTAAAGATACAATATATAAATCAAAATATGACATTTAATAGTATCGATTATGTATATTTTTTCAAACAGTATTGTAAGTCGACTCGTCTAACAATGGAACGGTCTCACACAAGAATTTGAGAAGTAAACTCATTTTATATATATAGTCAACAATTGTTGCTTAATCAATGCTAATAAATTATAATATCCCATGAGTGGTTTTCCCAAAAGAATAGGATGAATTAAAGTAAATTCTCCTTTTCTTTTTTCATTATGTTAATCATCTCTCAATGTGATTGCTTCACCAATCCAACCAAACATCTTCATATTATTATGAATATTATTTTAGAAAAAAATGGACGAATTAAATGCACCACCTCATAATGTGTGTTTGAATCAAATGCCGACAGGATATCTAATTGATTAAAATTTTGAAAAAATGGTGCAAGAAGTTAAGTGGTCCACATTTTTATTGCTTTAAGCTTTTGGTTTAGTTGGCATAGTAACCAAATCATAAGCACAAGAAATTTGAGTAAATTAAATAGTCAATGCCCCACCTTTTTTTCTATATATTAATTAAGTTTTTGAATTTGGATTCTCTGTTCATTTAAGAAGTATAAAGTTGAAAAATATAATTAATTTCAAAGTTGAAGTTTGGTTAAATTTTTCCTGATACTTTGAAATAGTAGCCGCTTGAATTTTCGATATTCCTTTTTATTTCTCACATGATAGCTTTTTGTAAATGTTTATATAAAGAATAAACTAAAAATAATAATTGGGAATAATAGATAAAAATGAAGGCCCCCCTTATAAATATAGACACAAACATGGAGTGGGCATCTTCACATGCCGAGAGACACCACACCAGTTAATATGAATAAATAATAAAAAGGACTATTTCTGCATTATGAACTTGGCCACGATATGTTCGAATAAGGATTGGAAGAAAGAAAAATATATTGTTAAATCAAAAGGGAAAGTATATATATATTTTTTAAAAAAAGTAGCCTCGTCTACTTGCATTTTGATTATGATATATGTGAATGGCAAACTTAAAGTAGATCCTTGGCCGAAAAAAATTATAAATTCTAGTAGTTAATTAAAAAAATTCACTTTAGAGTGGCTTATCAATATTACATGATTCTTTAGTCCAGTCCTAGAAATTAATGTTTGAAAACACTATGTCTATTTTACCAAACAAGGATAGATTGTTAGGAAATAAGGATTATATCACCGGCCAACCTTAATGTGCTAAACGAATTAAGTAGTTTGCCTCGACTCGTTAGTCTCGATCTCAGCTCGGCTAATAAGATCGCTTATTTAATAAGTCAAACAAAATTCGATCTGTTAAAACTCAAGAAATGATTTTTTTCTTACGTAATTTTCTACATTTTTATCTTTAACTGTCAGCTCGTTAAATCGATTATTTTATACTTTCACATTGTAGTGTGATCCATGACCAATGAATAAGTTGACATATGAGACAAGTGAATTTGTAATGCCGTCATATATACGTTCAGTCCAATTTAATGAAATAATAATTTCTTTATAATAATAATAATAATAATAACAACAATACTTAAGTTCGTCGATTTCTGTTGGCCGTACAGTAAACTTGTGTGCTTAATTGATCAATTAGTCGTAAAACGTCGCTTATGTGTAATTTCCTTTTGTCTCGTAATGAAAACTGGTAAACATTGGCTACTATACTTCTGTCATCAATTTAATTTATTGGTAATTAGGTGATGCTGCAATTAAACAAATAAGGAGAAAATTATTATTCTAGTTCAATTAGTAAATCTATTTTGTCAAATTATTTTATCATCTGACCCACCGAAGTATATGCTGTCAAAATCTCACCTGATGATTTAATTATATTATAATAATAAAAAATAATAGATGATTATTATGTGTATTGTGGTTTGGTTGATTTCGTCCCATTATTTTCTCATTTGTTGATTTTTTCAATAATTATTTTGTGTTTTGATTTGAAATTTTGTCATAAATATCCAGAATACTGAATTAAATAAATTGATAAAAAAAATTGAAAGTTATTATATACTAAATTTGGACCATAAAAAATTATCAAAATAATTCTGACACAAAATCATGAAACGCAGTAATAAATTCAAACCTTAAAATTTTATTGAATGAAATTCAAACAAAATATGTATATATATAGGATGTGGTTCAAATGAGAACCAAGTCTTAGTGTGAGAACAATGAGAACCGCTATTTTTATTTGTGCGTAGTGCTATGATTGATTGTGTTTGATGCTATTTTTAACTAGGATGAATTTTATTAAAAATAGCAAAAAAATTTCTGGTAGCACTTGTAAAAATGATAGCATCATCTAGCATCATGCACAATTAAAAATAGCATAAAAAACGGTTCTCACGGTTCTCACACCAGCACTAGTTTTTATTTGAACCAACCCCGGTTCTCAAATGCGGCCAGCTCTTAAAATGCGCCCAGTTCTTAAAATATATATAGGGCGGATCAAATGAGGCCAGCTCTTAAAATGCACCCAATTCTTAAAATGCGGATAGCTCATAGCAACTACAGACAACTAACCTAGCAACTACAGAGAACTAACCTAGCAACTACTAACTTAGCAACTACAGAGAATTAACCTAGAAACTACAGAGAACTAACCTACCAACTACAGAGAATCAACCTAGCAACTACTAACGGGCCGAAAATTTGCCCTAAAATCTACCTCCGCCGCCAATCTCCGCCTCCACTTCCATCCACTTCCCGTCTCCAGCGTCACCACTCCCTATCTCAGATCTCTATTCGAAGCTCGAAGTACGGTTGCTGATTTTCCTGTCGAAGCTCGAAGCTGAGCTTGCGATTTTTCGGTTGGAGCTCGACGGAGAGTCGAAGATCCTCAGTCCGCAGTACTCATAAGTTAGAATCGAACCTCTATTTAGTCAGTCCGCAGTACTCATAAGTTAGAATCTAACCTCTCTTTAGCATTATTGAAGACGTAAATTTGTATCCCGATTTCGTGATAAGAATGTCAGACAAAGAAATGGAGAGTGACTCGGATGCCCCTGAGGTGTTTTCCGTCCGGCAGGGGATGCAACAAGATGAAGAGATACGGAAAGTGCAAAGAGAAAATAAGGCTAGGGTAGTGCGTGAGGTAAAAGAACGTCGCAGAAAATGGGCAAAGAATTTGACTCCAAAGCCTTTGCCCAAAGAAAGAAGCACCATAGATGAAAGTGAGACCAAAACTGAAACGAATGAGGACTCTCAAGGCAATAATGGAATGCTTCTGGATGACATTGTAAAACTTCTTGCAGCCCGTGAAAAGATAGTCTTCACGTCCGATTCTGAGGATGAGAAAGTTGAGAAAAGGGGCACCTCAAAGAAGCGAAAGCTGAAAAGATCCAGGTTAGAACCCGTTATTTTGAAGGAGATACCATCTGCTCAATGTGTATAGAGTTCATTGGAGTTTTTGAACAAACGAAGAATGCGGGTTCCAAGATCCTCTGTAGTTTTGAACAACTCAAATCAACCTTTGCGCCTCCTTTCGAAATCTGGCTTGTTAAAGTTGAAGTGATGGAAATTTGCAGTTGAAGTACATGGAAAATCCTAAACATGGTACCTTTTAAAATTATATGCAGTTTTGGAGACCTAGACACCGAAAACCAATACTTTGATTTGATGTTAGTTATTATTTTTACCTGCTAACTTATGCACTATAAGAACTTAGCAACTACAGAGAACTAATCTAACAACTACAGACAACTAACCTAGCAACTACATAGAACTAACCTAGCAACTACAGAGAACTAACCTAGCAACTACAGAGAACTAGCCTAGCAACTAAATAGAACTAACCTAACAACTACAGAGAACTAACCTAGTTGGAAGGTTAGTTGTCAACGGTCAACGTCGGAAGTCAACAGTCAACGCTAGAAGTCAACGGTCAATGCCAGAAGTCAACGGTCAACGCCGGAGTCAACGGGTCAAAATAATAATTAAATAATTAAAATAATAAAATGAAAAAAAAAAAGAAAAGAGTAAATCTTGACCACACATGATATACCAAATCTTGTGGCTAAAAATGAGTCTCACGTCCTCACTTTAAAAAAGCGGCCGCATTTGAACCAATCCCTATCTCGGTATATATATTTATTTAAAAAATTATGATGAGTCGACTCATCTAACTGTTAGGTCGATTCATCCGAGAATTTGTATATTCTATTGGATTCGTTTTGCCTTAAGTGTAATTTGTAATCATTGACATGGACAATATTGTCCTTTTCCTTTTTGGCAAGGATAGAAATTTAATTAGTCAATACTAGAAGGAGAATGTTAAAGTTGAATTCTCACTATGATCTAAAACTTTATAAGAGTATCAAACATAAAGGTTGTCTGACTGTAAAACTAGCTTAAAACATATATATTTAATCGGANTATTATTATTATTATTATTATTATTATTATTATTATTATTATTATTATTAATCCACACTATCTCATCAATGATAACATATTTTCTTACACTTTTTTAGGTCAATTAAGATAAAAATTGTTACATTTTATATTAACTTGGGTATTAATTATATTTTTTATTATATCATATAATGATTATTATTAGTGTTAATAATAATTTTTTACACTAAATGATATATGAGAATTACTTAAGCATAAAATATTATATTGCAAAGACTTTTTGTTTAAGTATTTATTTTAAAATTAATTTTATATTTTTTTATCTGATTAAGCGATTGTTTTTTAAATAAATTAATTTGTTTTAATGTCATAGTAAAATTGTTTAAAATCGCATAAGCAATTGTTATAATAACTTTAATATTTTCGAGCTAATTAATTGTTCATGATCACTCAAAATTAAAAAAAAATACATTATTTATTACATTTTATACAATAAATATAGTGATTCATATGCAATAATTGTTATGTACTATTCATTTTAACCAATGATCAAATTTTAGAACATAATACCAATATCTAACTTATAATTTTAGTATTATATGAATAAATATAACTTATTATACTCTATGTTTAAAATATAATACCATTATCTAACTTATAATTTTAATAATATATGTATACAAATAACTTATAATACTTTATTTATATTTATACAAATGCACATGTCGAATAGTGTATATATATATTGAACGAAAATCAACATCTTCATTTACCTACAAATTTGCTTCTAGATTAATTTATCCTTGCAAGATTGTTCTCATTCAAAGTCTGGACTTCTTGACATTTAGCGACACTAATAAATACAAATTAGCAGCCCAGGCGTTACGTTCAAAATTTCATGTCATTTCAGATAATTGACAAAAGCAAGCATTATTGATTTATTGTTTTTCTATATTACCCACCATCATTTTTCTAGTTGTTTCTCATCAATTTGGGGCACACACATTTATACCAATGTATGATTTTTTTCTGCATGTGAAGATAATAAAACAAATTAAAACAGAGTAATGGGTTAGTGCAGTCACATTCAACTATTTATTTCAAGTCCCATTATCATGATTTGTACTATTAAATTTCCAGATGGGACCATCCATCTTTCATGCTTTTGAATATGTAATACTATTTTGTTTCTTTTTCTATGTTATTTTCTTTTTCATAAAATAGTTAAATGACTCATATATACAAGTTACAACCTTTATTTTTTTTCCTACATACAATTCACAATTACTATCTTAGCATTTTTGATCTAGAGCGTAGCTCTATAATTGGAAAAGAACAAACCCCTCATTTTAGTTGTTTTGTTTATTTATTATGTCGTGACTTGTCAATACAACCATTAAACGAATTGAGATGTTCGCACACACAATTCGATTTGGCCCCTTTGTTTATTTAAACGAGTTGATAACAAACAACGAAATCGAATTTGTTTATCTACATGTTGAATCGAGACGAGCTCGTTTTTGAAAATTTTATTTTTATTTTATGGATTGTAAGAAAAAAAAAAAGTCAAGTCATACTTATTCACGAACAACTCGTTTAAATTTTTAGGTTTATTAGACAGAACAAAAATCGAGCAAAGCCTTTGACCTATATTAAAGGTTTTAGGTTTATTTGACACAAATCTGTGCTTTTTGACTAGTATATTAATCAATGGCAAACTTAAACATGAGATGATAGACTTAAAATACCACGGCTAATTGTGATTTGTGTGGGTCTATTAGTTAGATTCCTAAATGATGGGTTTGCCCATTTTACACGGAGTCCATTTTTGTTGTGGATTTGGCTTAGTTGGAAAAATAATAAATATATATAATAATAATAACTAGTACAGAGCCCGTGCGATGCACGGGATGTACATTTTTAAGGCTATTTATCCAGGCTTATAATTATATACATGAATAAAGAAAGATGTACGGAATATATATAGTACGTGACCCGTGCAAAGCACGAGATATATTTATTTAGAGAATATTATATTATAAGATGCAATATTCAATAAAAGTTTATAATACGCAAGAAAATTATACAATGTTCCATAAAAGTTGTATAATATTCAAGTGGAGTCTTAAAGTCTCTTGTACATTAAGACTACTGACAAAATAATATTTTAATCAATGAGTTTCCTTTCCTTGTAGCCAAATTGTGAATGTGATTTGAGGAGTACAACAAATCGATATATAGCTGACTTGCTTTTTTCATTGTAGTTTTTTTTTTTTTTATATATAATGAATTTAAAGATATTCTAAAATATAGCAAAAATTAATTTTTTTATTACAATTAGGAATTTTACTAAATATAAACTCTCAATCTATGGTGTTAATCAACGTTTAAGTCTAAAAAATTAGGAATTTTTACCTCTTTTAATCAACGTTTAAGTCTAAAAAACAATAGAGTTATTATAAGTTTTTTTTCTACATCTTTTAAAACATTAAATATGAGCATGTTAGGGCTAGCTTGTAAAATAATTAATATATTATCTCACTAAAACATTTATACTAATAAAAATTTAATTTTAGCATATAAATTTATCCCTTGATATAAGAGAAAGTAACAGTTTTACTTATTGTTGTTCACCATATAATATTTAATTATTATTTTATTATATAATAAAAAAAAAATATTGTTAAATAGTGTAGTAGAATTGTTATAAAATTATATGATTTTTTTTTTTACAATATGGATTTAATATTTTTTTATGATTTGATAATATAAACAAATCTATACTTAACTTTGATAAATAAAACAAACAAATACTTTAGTAAGTATTTAATGTATATACTAAATAGGAATATATTTGGTATAATTAAATACCAAATATAATCAAATAAGTCAAAGTGTACATTTTTATTTGGTATTTAATTTTTTTATTATTAAAATTTTTTTATTATACTTACCTTATTAAAATAAAACAAATAAATAAAACAATTAAATAAATAAAATATTATAATACCAAAATAGTAATGACATTTAATGCAGTTGACTTTTCTGGATAGTAAATATAGTAAATAAAATCTCTTTTTATATAAGTATAGATTGTATAATACGGAAATAGTAATGCAATAAATGTTGTTGACTTTTCTTTATATTAAATCTGGTAAATGGTATACCTTTTAATATAAGTATAGATATATTTTAATTAACTGTTACGTGGTGAGTATAATAATAATAATATATAATTTATTTAATCAACTGATTACGTGCATACTATAATAATAATAGTAATAAACAATGGATAGCACACGTTTTGAAAAGTTAAAGGCAATCAATCAATTCACATGAATTATAAGTGAGATTAATGAAAGGTGAGATAATATCCGTTCATTTATATAATCTAGTGTGAAAAGGACATAAAAAAAAGTGTGAAAAGGACATAAAAGTTACTAATTTTAGTAAACATTTAATGCAGATAGGATGTTGACTAAGAATTGACCTACTAATTTTGAAAAAGGTTAATTCTTATTATATAAGTATAGATAATAATAGTCGTGTCTCATCAATTGACACTTTCATGGTGAACAGATTTAGTTGTGGGGCAAAGCATTTGTGGATGCTTTCGTACGTTGGATCACGACTGAGGCCTTAAAATAAAATTGTTTTCGTTCACACATGCACGTTCTTTTGCTTCAATTATTATATTTTTTTTATGTTATTTTGTTTTATATTTTATTTTATAATATTTTATTATTGAATTAATTGCATTGTCGTGTTCTGATAATAATAGTTTGTATTTTAGGTGTTTTCACTTGATTTTTTTCTTTAAATAAAAATTCAAAAAAATAAGTAGACAAAAACAAAAATTAAAATTAAAATGTGGACCAAAATCAAAAGGTCGTATTCTGAGAGTACGTTTTACAATGTAAAACGTATTATCGGAATACATTTTAATTTTAAAACGTATTTTAATAATACGTTTTATAAATAAAACTAATTTACGTGGGTCCCGCAAGATCACGTGTGACTTCGGTTTACAGAGAATCGAGT